ATACTAGAGCCTATCCGAGAGACCTACATTAATATATTTAAATACTACCTAGCGTCGACATTGCCTATATTTAAAGAGACGGATTATAAGATTAATATTATAGAGGGCAAGGAGGTTCCTTTTAGCCCCCTCTACAACCTTAGTAAACGAGAGCTTGCTATATTGCGTAAGTATCTAGAGGAAAACCTAGCTAATAGCCGGATACGATATAGTAACAGCCCTGCTAGTATACCTATCCTATTCGTACTAAAGAAGGATAGTAGCCTACGTCTATATATTAATTACCGCGGGCTTAATACTATTACTATTAAAGACCGCTATCTACTTCCGCTTATTAATAAGACCCTCGATCGCCTTTCTAGTGCTTACTTCTATACTATACTAGACATTAAGGATGCGTACTATCGTATCCGCATTCGTAAGGGCGACGAATAGAAAACGGCCTTCCGTACTCGCTATAGCTATTTCGAGTACTTAGTTATGCTATTCGGCTTAGCTAATGCCCCTACAACATTCTAGTCCTATATTAATCGGGCCCTTTCGGGCCTATTAGACTATCTCTATATAGTTTACCTAGATAACATCCTAGTTTATATACATTTACCTAATATTGCAGAACACTAGGCCGTAGTGCGTAAGGTCCTCGACCGCCTACGAGCCTATAGACTGTATTGCAAACCTTCTAAATGTACCTTTGCTACTAAGGAGGTGTTATTCCTTAGCTTCCTCGTATTAACCGAGGGTGTTAAGGCTAATCCTAATCGGATTAAGACTATTACTAAATAGCCTATTCCTACGTTAATTAAGGAACTATAGTCGTTCCTCGGTTTCGCTAACTTCTATCGCCGATTTATTAAGGGCTATTCGAGGCATATAATGCTACTAACTAAGCTTACTAAAACTAAGGCCAATCTATCTAGGGAATTCAAATAGACTAACAAGATACAAGCCGCTTTTAACGGTCTAAAGAAGCGATTTACTAAAGTCCCCTTGCTATACTATTTTGTACTAAGCAAGCAGATCCGTATTAAAACTAACGCTTTATAGTTCGCTGTATCGGCTATTATGTTATAGCAATTAGATAAGGACTATTACTAGTATCTAATTGCCTTCTTTTTACGAAAGATAATCGATATAGAGCGTCGCTACGAGACCTACGAGTAAGAGCTCCTAGCTATTGTCGAGGCCTTTAAGTATTAGAGGCACTATCTCGATAGTGCATAGTACACTATTTAGGTCTATATAGACTATAACAACCTCCGTAGCATTACTAAGGTTACTAGGGTTATAGGTCGATAGGCTAGATAGGCCGTCTACCTCGCTAGGTTTGATTTTAATATATTATATCGGCTAGGCGTAAGTAACCCTACTAATAGCCTATCGAGGCGACCTAATTACGATAGCGAGACTTAGTACATCAATTTATTGTTTCTAACCCTATAGTATAAGATTGCTATAGCCTGTATTATTAATAAGTAAGCGTAGGATAAGCGGACTTCCGGACCCCGCGGCGGCAATAAATACTATAGCGGAGTTGTCGTTCTTCTAGTATACGTTAAGAAGGACGTAGATCGCTCGAGCTATAATAACTCGATTAAAGATATTGCTATCTATAGCGATAGCACTATAGAAGAGGTTGTAGTAGTTCCGGCTACTAGTACTATTAGATATATATAATACGTACCTCGTTCGATAGCGAGGGTACTATTAAATAACCTTGTAAATAGGGATAGTCAATTGTTTATAGATAAGCTGTTACGTACTTAGCAGAGGGACGCCTTTGCTATCGAGCGCATTAATAAGCTTGTAAGTAGACGGGCGACTCGATCTAGCAAGAGTAATAACAATTAGTCGATCGACGATAAAGATTACTTAAAGTTTAAGGGCAGATACTATATCCCCGCTAAACAATCGATTAGATAAGAGCTTTTAAAGAGGCACTATAATAGTAAACTCGCTAGTTACTATAGCATAGAGAGGTCGCACGAGTTACTATCGCGTATATACTACTAGCTAAATAGTAAGCGGTATATAAAGGAGTATATACAGACCTATATAGTATACTAGCGAGTTAAAGCACTAAAGCACTTACTATTTAGCGAGTTGTCTTTACTTCCTGTTCCTAGGAAGCTATTTGCTAAGCTTATAATAGACTTTATTATAGGCCTTCCGCCTACTAAGCGTAGGGGCAGCAAGGATGTATATAATGCTATCCTTATTATAGTAGATCGATTTACTAAAGGCGCTCGATATATCCCGGCGCGCAAGGATTAGACTGCTATTAATATAGTAGAGGCGCTATAGACTAATATCTTCTGCATCTATTAGGGAACCCCTAAGGGGATTGTATCCGATCGTAGATCGATACTAATATCTTACTATTAGAGCGAGATTTGCTTGTAGCTAAGACTAAAGCATCGGCTATTAACAGCCTTCTATCTATAGACTAACGGTTAAATAGAGAGGCAGAATGCTACCTTATAGCAGTACCTACGCAGTTATATTAATAAGAACCCCGAGGACTAGGTCAACCTCCTACAACTAGCTAAATTCGTATACAATAACGGTGTCTACTTATCTACTAAGGTCTCCCCTTATTTTGCTATAATAGGCTAGAACGCTGCCTTACTATAAGACCTATTTACCTCGCTCGAGGCCGAGCGTAAGGAAAGGGAAGCGCGTTAAATACCCGAAACACTAGCGGCTATTAAGAGGGTTTAGAAGATGCGAGAAATCTATACTAAGATAGCCGAGAAGTTAATAAAGGCTTAAAAGTACTAAAAGACCTACTACGATAAGCACTATACGCCGATAACCTTTAAACAAGGCGATATAGTTATGCTAAGCACTAAGAACCTCCGCATCCGCAAGCACCTATTACCTAACGGCAAAACAAGGCCTAAGCTCGCACTAAGATACATTAGCCTATTCCGCATTCGAGAAGTTAAGGGCTCCTCCGTATAGGCCTATTAGTTATAGCTTCCTCCCTATTATACTATCTATAATACCTTCTATATATCCCTCCTTAAGCTATATTACCTACACGAGGGGGATAAAGCACCTACTAAACACGAAGACATACTAGCGGATAGGGAAGAGCTATAGTCTATAGAACGTATCCTATAGCACCGGACTAGGAAAGGCAAGAAGGAGTACCTATTAAGATAGCAAGGCTATTTACCTAAATAGGACTTATAGGAAGCTAAAGGTTCCTTTAAGGATATAACCGAGTTGTTAGATAAGTATTAGACTAGCGTAAAGAACAAGAAGAAGGCTAAAAGCTTATAATGTTACTATTAAGGCCTAGGATTAATGCTACCCCCGGGGTGCTATTAGCTAACTAATTAGAGGCAAGCAATTGTTAGCAATAAGAGACAATAAGACTATACTACTATAGTGAACGCGTACCGAGTGTTAATAAGCGCGCTACGACGCGTTAATTAGTTACTACTCTTTTAAAGACTCTACCTCTTATTCCTTTATTCTACCGAGGCCTCGAGGCCTAAGTAATCGACGAGAATACGCGCGCGCGCGTGCGAATAACGGTGTGTTAGAAGACAGCTAGCGCGGCTATATTAGTAACGGTATTGCGGAGTGTATTGCTGTTTAAGAAAGGAAGGACACCGCTATATTAGTAATAGTGTTGCCGAGTTGTTATTAGTCGAAGAAGGAAATCGAAAGTAAGGTAAAGTTAGCGCTAAGCCGACTAGCGCCGCTATTGTCGACATTACTTGCTATTATTACCGCGCCTATAGATACAACCTTACCTGCACTACGAGCCTAAGGCACCTTAATTAAAACTTTAATCAAAACTTTAAGGCTAAGTTAAAACTTTAAGCCGCCTAAAAGATTAAGCGACTAATAAACTAACTAAGGGCAAAACTATAGAGCTAAGCTAGCCGGGGTCGATCTTGCGGACAATAGGTTACTCCTCGATCTGTCTAACCCTTTAAGCGAGGCGAACCTCTACTACTACACTTATAATAGCCTTTACCTATAGAAACTAGACGAGCTGTGTTTTTTCTAAAAAGATAAGATAAGATTAACAATTAAAGGCTACTAAACCTAACTAATTAGGGCTAGCGAAACTACGAATAATAATAGCCCTCGTAATAATAAGAACAAACCCTTAGAAGCGGACAACCCTCGGAAGCGGATATAGCTAGGTCTTTTAGAGTAGACGTAAAGAACTCGGTACGACATTACGCAAAATAGGGGCAGTGCTACAATACCCTATATACCTACCTATTATAGTAGGGAAGGTACGCTCGTATTATAATTAGTCGATAGTCCTCAATTCTTATAGTTATATATTACTTTATTGTATACAAGGATAGCGTAGTTAGAGTTAGATATTGTATTAGAAAGTAAGGTTTAATATAGTTATATAATCGGTAGTTGTATATTTAATTCAGCGCGGACTAAGTAGCCTATTAGACCTGCTAAGTTAGCAGTAATAGAGGTTGAGACTAGAACAAAGACCGGCTACGAGGGCGCGGCCTTTAGAAGGGAAGCGTATATTAGGACTAAAGAGGTTATACGTAATTAGTATATAACCGGGCTCGAGTAAAGCTAGGGTCTTAATACCTTAGGCAGGGCTTAGCGCTTAGCAATAGGCTAACTTGCCTGCCTTCCTCCCTCTCCTCCTAGCTCCTTATCGAATACTACCTATACCTACTACTACCCTATCTACCTACTAATATACCCTTCTTATAGTATCTACTAGCAACTCGTCGTTAGTATTAGAGCCTTTACTTAGCTTAATAGTCGGCTCTCGGCGGCGCCTCTTATTAGTATTATTAGTAGCTCGGTTAGTCGATTGCTAAGCGAGAAGGGCCTCCTTCTTCTTCGAGGAAAGCTTCTACGGTCGTTTAGAAGCTCTAAGTATAGCGACGGCTTCCGTATTAGCCTCCTTCTTAACCCTAACTGTTACTAGAGGACCTAAGTGGGCAGTAGTAAGAAAGGCTTTCGTTCCGTCCCTAGACTGCCTCCTATTTTATATGGAGAGTGTAGGTCTACGGAAAAACTAAGGGTACGCGAAAGTCACGAGGTCTCCGCGCATGGCGTGCACTTCTGAATACCGCAATAGAACTCATCGCATTATCGTTCTGCAACTAGTGCTCGATCTCCATAACCTGCGGTCACGAAGCACTCACGCCATCATTGTGCGTAGTAATCAAGGAGGCGCCCTCTTCCGGCGCACTGGTGAATGGCACACCTGCTATGCGATCCTTCAGAAGTGTTCAGGCTGCGCTGCCTACCTACTCCAGCCTGCTTTTCATTCCCAGTCTTCTTTCCTGCAAGCCTGCTCCGAGGCCAACTGCAAGAGCGATCAATAGATCTACGACTGCGAGCACGATCCAGAGCCACTTTCTTCTCTTCGGTGCTACTGCCGCCGAATGACCTGCCTGCTTCTCCGACCACAATCCAGACTCCAGGCCTTCAGATACACGATTTGATTCACCATCTCCTGGAACTTGAAGGCCCTCAGCGTCCTTTGGCACGGCGACTGGGCCGGTGTAAGGTGCTAGCTACTCCTGGTCCATGGTCTAGGAGTAGCTTCCGTATATTTTGCGTCGAGGGTCCTGTGTTGTATCCATGTCTTGGCTTTGTACCTCCGTACTGTAGACAATGCTTGCTGTGCAAACTCGCCTATCGATGTATCACATGATTCTCATCATCCCAACGTGGGGGTCACATCTTGCAAGCATACCCTGCAGCCCGTATGCGGGAAGGTGACATGAATGGATCCTCCGTACCACCTCACTCGCTTACATGTATGGCATTGACAAACAACGCTCCGCATTCTCTGCTCTCCAAGACTTCCACGCTTCTACCATGGTCTCTAGCAAGCCATTTACTGTTGGCAATCGGCAGCCATGGACCACGCTTGCCACACAAGAAACGAGGCCTTCCCAAGAGACCAACATCTCAGAAGCTGACAAAATCACAAAAGCACAAGAACTCCGAGACTTCATCATTGAGATAGCAGCAGATGTCCACCAGCTCGAAAAATTCTACAACGTCAACCTTTCCGCCACGAGAGTCCAGCGTCTTGGCGAATACGTGTCCCAGCACGCGACTGCCTTGTTCACTCATTTCGCTCCATTCGACGACTTGACTCAAGATGCCAAGGTGGATTTCCTACTCATTCATGCTTGGATTTTCAATAAGCTGCGCACTCTCAGGACAGAATGGACTCAGCTGAGCGATTTGAAACCATTGCTCGGAGACTGGGTGCCAGGATTGGTTGATTTGTGCGAACGCAGGCAAAAGGTCGTACCCACGGAAGGCAAATACGCTGGTCAGGTACTATCAGACGCTATCAAAGCTGTCGATGCTCTCTCCACGGAGATTCAGAAAGGCAAGTTCAAGATGGAAGATAACCGCTTTGGCGCATATCGTGCTGCGCTGCAACTAGAAGATCTGGGCAAACGCCTCACAGAGTGGTACGAATTCTACTCTGGCTACGACCCTCTGTTCACGTGGTGGACTTCAAAGCCTTGGCACGACTTTTCCCAAAAGCTAGTCTCCTTCGTTGCTGTCATACGACAGTACCTGGTTGGCATCAAGCCTGGCGACGACGACGCTATCGTCGGACAGCCGATCAGCAAGGAGGGTATCGACGCAGAGTTGTTGACAGAGTTCATCGCATATTCCCCGGAAGAAATTATAGCAATTGGCGAGAAGCAGTATAAGTGGTGCGAGAAAGAAGCTATCAAAGCTTCACAAGAAATGGGATTTGGCGATGACTGGCGCAAGGCCCAGGAGAAGGTCAAGAACATGTACGTTGAGCCGGGTCAACAGACGAACATGGTTCACGAATTGGCCCAAGAAGCTGTGGATTATGTGGAAAAGTACGACATGGTCACTCTGCCAGAAATTGCCAAGGAGTGTTGGAGAACTTTCATGATGAGTCCCGAACGACAGAAAGTCAATCCATTCTTCCTAGGCGGCACATCGATCATTGTGTCCTATCCAACAGATACCATGTCGCACGAGGACAAGCTCATGGTGATGCGAGGGAACAACAGGCCGTTCTCGAGATCTACGGTGTTTCACGAGCTACTCCCGGGACACCATCTTCAATACCACTACATGGCCCGCAGTAAACAACATCGAAATATGTTCCAAACACCTTTCTGGATCGAAGGATGGTCGTTTTACTGGGAGCTGATTCTCTGGGATCGCGGCTTTCCAGGGACTCCCGAAAACCGTCTCGGCATGCTGTTCTGGCACATGCATCGCTGTGCGCGCATCGTTTTCTCCTTGAATTTTCACCTGGGCAAGTGGACGCCTCAGCAGTGCATTGACTACCTGGTTGAGAAAGTGGGCCACGAGCGAGCGACGGCCGAAGGGGAAGTCAGGCGGTCGTTCAACGGAGAATACGGTGCGTTGTACCAAGCTGGCTATATGCTTGGAGCGCTGCAGCTCTATGCTTTGAGGAAAGAGATTGTAGACGCCGGCGAGATGACGGAAAAGCAGTTTCATGATCGTGTCATGAAAGAGAACAATATGCCAATTGAGCTGTTGCGAGCGCTTCTGAAGGGCGGAAAGCTTGAAGTGCGTCAGAAGCCTAGCTGGAAGTTCTATGACTTGTGACTGCATTGACTTCATGTGCGTTCGTGCTCAAGCTTGTGAGTCCGAGTCTGCATGTGAGGTCGAATCTGCATGTGAGCTCGAGTCTGCATGTGAGTGTGGCGCAGCTTTGATGGACTTTATTTAAACTCGCTTCGCGCATCACTACGAGACGGCGAAGACGTGAGTCTTCTGTCGCAAGCCTGACAAAACCTCAAGCGAGCCGGCATCACGTCATATCTCAGCCTGGGACACGCCGATGAGCGCAACTTCCATCCAGACAGAAATCGCAATGGAGTGCGGACGAATTCCAAGGTCGCCCATCTTTCGGATACCGCCACATCGAGCAGTGCATCGAAACCTCCATAGTCGATTACCACGACCTGCTCTTCAAGGCCAGCTACACCGACCACCCAGCCTCAACCCGACTGACTAATCTTACACAAGCCATCGCAAGATCAGAGTACCCACGCACAACTCTCCACCTCCGCGAACCCCATCTCACGCAATGCGAACTCAGAGAATTCCACCATGGCACCTTAGAACTCTCTTCGCGGTCTGCCTCCCCTCCCTCAAAACCCTTGCAATTAACCCATTTCCGCACCAATCACGCATGTGAAAAGCCATGAGCACCGCAACATCTCACCCTCACATTCAACCCACCCCGACCACTACGCCCCTTCGACTCCGCATCAAACCTCATCATCGAATACACAAAAGCCCGGGTCTGCAAACGACGATCCTCCCCTCACCACCACTGCAAAACACCGAAGCACTTACGTCGATTTCGTGCACGAGAGGGAGGAGAGGTGGCGGAAGCTTTTGGGCTTTCTTGCGGAGGAGTTGACATGTGTTGAGCACTTCTATCTTCAGGCACAGGATATGGGTTGTGGGATTGCGGCTAGTGGATGAGGGGTTGGGAGTTTGAGGGTGGGGGGGGTTTGAGGGAGTTTGGGGAGACGGTGAGGTTTCCGGAGGTGGAGGAGGAGGAGTGATGAGACTGAACTTGGAGAGGAGAGGAGAGGAGAGGAGAGGAGCAAAGTTATGATGCGTAAGGTAGAGGAGAATAGGTACGACGGTAATGCATGCCAAAGCTCAATTCAATCACATCACATCGCATCCACAAAATCTTCAAGATTCCTCCGATCCCTCCCTTCATCATCGGACAGGCAAATGCCAAATCATAAGAACCAGTGACAGCCCAGCATACACCAAACCACCCAGCACCTTCAACCAGGACGTCGAACGAATCAAGGTATCATCTCATCAGAAAAAATTAAATCATCTCCTCCCAATTACATTCAAAAAAAAAACGCAAATCCAAAGCAAAGCGCTAAACAAAAAAAATGTGCGTTTTCCTCGCAAATCATGGTGCATACATCATCCTTTCGTTCCATTCCATCCGTCCATCCGTCAAATCCGTCCGTCCGTTGGGTATCTCTCATGAAACGTTTCAGAAAAAAAAGAGGCAAATTAGAAGAAGAAAGAGCCTCCGCACCATAATGCAAAATTGAGTCCCCCCCAAAACCAAAGTTAACGTGTTCGTGTGCGGTGCGTTTCTTCGTGTTCCAAAGGAGATGGATGTTCGTTACTTCGTGAGTGTGCTCGTTTCGTTACATAGGGAAATGAAGAGGTGGTGGTGGGAATGCAGTTTAGAGTTGGGATGTGGGATGCGAGGTCGGTTATGTGGAGCGCGACAACTCGCAAGATCACTCTACGATCGATGTTCCGCTCGACTGCCTTCAGAGGTAGCGACGGCGACGAGGGCCTCGAGCTTCGCCATATCGTTGTTGGGCGGCTGACTGTAGCCGCTTTGAGTGAAGCGTGGATCGTGACCGCTCTGAAGCGCGTAGGTCTGAGGCGGCTGAGCTTGCTGCTGTGGCGACGTTTGTACATAGGTCTGATAGCCTGAATCAGTCCTCATACGATCCTCCTTATGCTGCACGTGGCTGCTCTGATTGGAGTTGTAGTATACCTTCTGCTCATCCGAAGTGATAGCAGTTCCCGGCGGGTATTGGTGTTCGGCAGGCACGCCAGGATTGACGATAACAGGGTTGTACTCGGTCGCTTGCGATGTCGAGGGTGTTGGGACGCCGTCGCTGCTGCCCGAATCTTCAGGTGAAGGGCGGTGAGGCATGTACACACCTCCAGGTACACCACCTTGATGAGGTGTGATGGGTCCACCGTACCAGGCATTGCGCTTATGCTTTCGAGGAGTGACCGGGCCTTCTGGCATTGACATGTGCTTTGGTTGAACACATTGATGCGGAGGTGCCTGAGGATGGTAGTAGGCCGTCTGTTGAGGCGGCGGCACCTGCTGTACCTGCCACTGTCCTTCGACTGGTGCATTGGCGGCAGTAATGTCAAGCCTGGTCAGACCCTGCTGCAATTCTCTTCCAGAGCTCGTGGGTCTTGGCGACGAATCGATCACCATAGCATCCGGCTGTCGTGTGCTTGGTGGCGGAGCATGATCGAAGCTTTCGATCCCTGGTAGTCGTGTCATCTGACTGGCCGCCTGCTGTTGGGTGAACGCAGGTCTTGGCTCGTCAGGAGTTTGATGATACGTCAACCCGCTCGTGGCTGGTCGCTGCTGATATTGCGAACTCGTGGTCGGATGCCAAGTGCGCCTACGAATCTCCATCTCGCTCTCCGACTCTCGCCGACCATGAGAGTAGACCGAGCTGGTCGGACTGCCGTATGTGCTGCTACTTTGCGAGAAAGTCGCTGATTGTCCGGAAGGCAGCGGGGTGAAATACGGTTGAGGATAGGTGGAGGGCTGCTGTTGGAATGGATTCGCACCAGATGGCACGGACAATCTACGTCCCGGTGCTCTCGAGCCATTGTAGAATGACGACCTTGATATTGTTGGGACCGGCGAGACCATACCGGACTGGAAGCGGGGGCTCTGTCCGCCAGTGGAGTATGCAGTCGATGTGGGTGTACTATATCTGGTCGGCGACGAGTTGCAGTACATATACTGCTGCTGAGGGCTGCCGCCATATGTTTCCAAAGACAGTCGTGCGCGAGCAGCAGGGTCGTTCGCCATGGCAAGTGCGGGCGGTCGTCTGCGTGCGTCATCAGGCACGCCGATGCTCGTCGTCGAGCCAATGCTGGAAGTGGAGAGGTTGCGGCTATGGCCTCGAGAATGAGTACCGCCGCCATTACTGCCGAGAGTCGATGCGCGAGAGCGGTTGTTGGGAGGCCGTACTCGGTCGGTGCGGATTTGTCTCTGGAATCTCGTGCTCGTAGCCGCCAGCGACTCGGCCGGGATCTCTTCGTTGACATGCACTGTTTGCGCATGCTGACGAAGATTGTCTAGACGTGAGAAGCGTCGTGAGCAGTGACATTGAAATGGTCGTTCGCCAGTGTGTTTCCTGCAATTCGTCAGCACATCCTTGCGTGTCCCTCACCTCAGTTCGACTCACCGAATATGTCTAGCCAGGTGCTCACTCCGGGTAAAGCTGAGTTGACACGGCGGGAACTCGGTGCAGAAGAAACGTTGGCCCTTCTTCTTCTTCTTTCCCGATCGTTGCGACTCGCTCTTGACACTCTCGTTATCCGAGTCGCCATCGTCCTCTGCGTCTTGTTCGTCGTCTTGCCCGGCCTCCCCCATTTCGACATCCTCCGACTCGCCTTGCGACGACTTCTTCGATCGATTTGAGCCATCGCGCTTCACCTCGCTGGATGGCGGCGGCGTGCTCGGAAGGCCTGGTGCAGTGGGAGGATGGTGTGGTAAGGGTCGTTGTCCCGGCACACCTGCAAAGCTGTGCCTGGTGGGAGTGTTGGGTGATGATTCATCATTATGGATGTCTTGGGGTGGTTCGGATATGCTTGTATCGGGTTTGGGGGTCGATGGGGTGGTTGCTCGCACAGCCTGACTGCCTTCAGGAGCAGACAGACCGGTATTGACGGCGGAGAATGTGGCCATTGGTTATGCGACGGTGGTGATCCAAGGCCGTCACCAGCTTACCGCTCGAGTTGTGCGACGCGCGCACACAATCTCTCGGGCGGCTCTTTCGCACTTGCGTCGCCCGGTCGTCGCCCGGTCGTTCCTGCGCTCAGCGCTGGTATGTCCTCCGACCGCACTTTCCGCCGCGGTATAAACGTCGTTGTGGTGGTGGGGAATGGGCGGGGATGGGTGAGGCTGGGAGGGTAACGGTAAACGGCCCGGATATAAGCAACGTTGTAGATACTCGACCAAGTGGCCTTAAGGAAAGACTCGAAGGGAAGTACTCCGCAACGGTACCTGGTCGTGTGTCGTTTCGTGTCGTCGTCTCGTCGTCAAGATGCCGCGTGCAGAGCCAGTGCAGAGCATTCGGGAAGGTGCAGAGGAGATGGGAGTAGGTGCAGGGCGGCGCGGCGACAAGCGCTGACGATTGATAAGGCACGCTTGAAACAGGCAACGTTGCGGACCAGTGCAGGAGGTCAAGGATGCCCGCCACACGCACGCAAGCTGACCGCTGACGTTCTGGCGTTGCTGGAGAGCAGGCGCAGGCACGAAAGCATCGGCGGGGCGAGCAGCGCAACTCCACACGGAGGGAAGAAGGGGAGGCCAAGAGGCGTGGGGAGGCGAGGCGAGGCGAGGCGAGACCAGACGATCCCGCTGAGCAGACACGTCAAGCAAGATGGGAAGGGACGGTCAGTTGGACGGCACAGAGACGGTCAGAAAGGGCAAACAGTATAATACCTAAAGCGCTAGCAGTACGCCACGCCGGCAAGTTCCTACCGCGGCGGAGTCGGTAAGACCTGGTCGTCCGCTCCGTAGTGTGCGTAACTATAGAAAACGTAATCTCGTCGTCGCTGCGCGTTGCTATTGCCGGGTCGACGCTAGTAGTAGTAAGGGTAGTAGTAGTAGTAGTAGTAGTGCGATTTCCGCTAGCATACTAAATGTCGATAGCAAGAGCGCGTTAATAGCTAATTTAGTAAGGTTTCTACTGTTTTAACTACCTTGCACGCTCTACCGATAGATACTAATAGTATTACTAAAAATAAAGCTAAAGTTTGTTAGCAAAACAGCGGTATAGCTAAATCCGAGGTATTGTTTATATTGTAGTAGAAATACGTATAGAAGTATTAATTATAGACTATAGACTTAATAGATCTATATAGTAGGCGCGTCTATCGATACCCTAATAGTATATAATACCGTAGTTATCGTAGAACAAGCCTATAGGCAGAGGTACGAGCTAGCACTGCTACTACTATTAGTTAGAGGGCAGCGCAATACTATATAGAATACTAGGCGCGATTTAAGTCGCGTTTCTATACAAATTTATATAGACATTCGCGTTAACTAGCGCTAGCGGCGTTCGCTAAGATATTATCGCATTCTCGGTCGCAATCTTAGGCTCTTGCCTCGCGTTCTTACTCTTCCTCTTGCTACTACCCTACGCCTTCCGCTTGTTCTTACTCTTGCCGACTATTGCGTCTACGACGGTCGCATTTATAGTAATGTTTTAGTAGATAATCGGACAGTAGAAGGACGATAGTATCTCTAGAGGTATTAGCAATTGCGATAGCGTAGGATTCGCGCGCGCGGTAAGGTTAATCTTAGCGCTAGTCGTAGTATTATTATAGTCGTCTACTAATAGCGATAAGGCGCGTTATCTTAACTTGCCGCTAATATTACGGACGAGACTAATAAAGTTGTTAATAACGCAGTCGCGACGAGGGCTCTCGAGCGGCTTACCTTTAGTTATTAGTCGCTCTTTAATCTTATATAGCAGTTATCGCATATTATCGTAAAGCTTACGGAATTAAAGCCGGTAAGTAGGTACGGTCGTATAGTCGCAATTTAAGGGCGCTATTAGCGTGCGGAGGTTATTATAATAGTCGAGTCTACTATCGTTAAATATAGCTATCTAGCGGTCGTAATAATAGGTCTTAATTAGCCTGTATTCTATTGCTTTATAAGCCGACTAAATATAGCGATAAAGGACGTCGTTTTAACGATAGAACTTATACTCGCAGGTTAGGTCGTTAGATATAGGCTTCTGTTTATAATACACCTCCGGATCTTCGGCGTAGTTAATCTTAGCACTAATTGCCTACTAAAGCTTCTACGGAAGTCGTAGAAAGAAGTATACTATCTCGTTACTATCGGTTATCCGCGGATAGACCTTCGTACGCGCCGTAAAGGCATTATTATCGGCTCGAAGGTCGTATTTAGCTAACTTCTTAATTACTCGCATTGCCGTGCCTTTAAGTATGTAATCGCGCTTTATAATAGCCTTAAACTCGCCGTATTTAAGCACTAAATGCTAGCCTTCGAGCTAGTTAGTATTTAATATCTGTTCGACGACTATAGGCGCTCTAGAAATAGCGTAACGATAGTGCTTACAAATAAGCGCTATATTGTCTTTAAGCTCGACCTACAAATAGCGGAGGTCTAATTAATAGTTATCGTCGTTACTCTCTAGTACAAGGGTGCTATCTTTACGCTTAGCGCGTAGAAGACTCGCTCTTACTAAATTAAGTAACTCGAGAGCACCTTTATAGCTTCTTCTTAAGAATACGAAGGCATATAAGTGCCGCTTCGTATCTATATACTTCTCGCTCTTAAATCGCTTGTCTAACGTCTGTTTAATATATATATAGTATAGAATATACTTCGCTATAGGAAAGGCGAGTGCAATAGCGCGTCGCTCTACCGCCGAGTCGTCGGTAAGGAAGTAGACAGGTATCTATCTACGGTCGTTTAGAATAGCTAGATCGGTCGTCTATTACTATATTTGCTTAAGCGCCGCCGCTATAATATTACTATCGTCCGTTTTTACAAGGAAGAAGGCGACCTGTCGTAGAGAGCCGTGTTTGTCGCGTACTATAATAGTATAGAGCTACTAGCCTAAATAGTTAGAATTATGCGTCGTGTCTATCTATACTAAAACACGACTACGCAAAATTCCTAGGCTATGTTTTAATACAAATACTAGTGCAGTAGTATCCTCGCCGTTAATCTGTCTTTTAGCGTATACTTTAGTATAAAAGAAGCCTTCTATTTAGCAGTATTAGTGTATTGTTTGTATAATTAAAACAATAGAATTCTAGGAATTCGAAGTGTCGGGGATTCGAGCGGGGAAAGCCGGCGGGCTCGTCCGCTAAAGCGGAGATCCGTAGTTAGCTAAAATAGTGCCTCGGCTATACGGAAGCTCCCGATTTCGAACTTCGAGCAGTAAACAATACTAACTTAGCAATATAAACATACCTTCTTCGAGCTACTTCTAATACTCTACCTGCTGTTGCTACTATATTAATAAGCTTCTACTAAGTCTACTATTCTTAAATACCTTCCGGTATTGTCGGCCGCAGTTAATTACGTCGTTGCGCGTTATCTAATCGCCGCCGGCGGCTTAGAATGTCTCGTACGCGACTTTGCAGTCTTTGCTACGCATTCGGTCCTATACCTAGTATAGTCGCTAGCTAGTATATACCTGCTAACTAACGGCGTTCTAAAGAGCGCTATATAGGCGATATATATCTATTTTTCGTAGGCAGCAGCCCGGATAGTAGTCGACTAGCTGCCGATTGTTATAGAAGATAGTATAGCTAACTACTACGCAATTGCTATCCGGATCGTCCTTATTCTCGAGCGCTATGTTCTCGTTAATACGTATCGTAAGCAGATACGCTACGGCCTCTTCTATCTTCTTCTCCTTCTTCCGCTTATGTCTACTATAGTGCTTCTGCCTCTGCTAATGCGCCTTAAAGCTAAATCTATACTTATATAGCGTATAGAAGCGACCGAGCTTATTAGCTCGATACGCTATATATACCTAGAAGTTGTCTATAAATAGCTATATTATATTAAACTCTGCCGCCGGCACTATAAAGCCCTTCTTACTCTCGTTATTATCTAGATTATCTAATATAGCTAGCTATTTCTTACGTAGCGCTCTAAGATTGCTAGGCGCGCATAGAATAGTATAGCTATCTTCGATAACCGACACTTTAATATGCTTTTCGCGACGACGAGATATTATAGAAAGCGCGCTATTATCGACTTTACTACTACTACCCTCTACGCCGTCGCGTTCTTTACTACTACTACTACTCTCTACGCCGTTACGTTCTTTACTACTACTACTACCCTTTACGCCGTCGCGTTCTTTACTACTACTACTTTCTACGCCGTCGCGTTCTTCGTCGCCTTCTTTACTATAGCCGTCGTCCTTACTATCCTCTAACGCCTAGTCCTTATTTGTAAGAAGGGTATGTTAGTAGGTAGATAGGGTAGTAGTAGGTACGAGTAGTATTCGATAAGGATCTAGGAGGAGAGGGAGGAAGGCAGGAGAGTTAGCCTAACGCTAAGCGCTAAGCCCTACCTAAGGCACTAAGACCCTAGCTTTACTCGGCCTAATTATATGCTAATTACGTATAGCCTCTTTAGCTCTAATATACGCTTCCCTTCTAAAGGCCGCGCCCTCGTAGCCTGTCTATGTTCTACGACCTCTATTGCCGCTAACTTAGCAAGTCTAATAAGCTGCTTAGCCCGCACTAAATTAAACACTTAACTACCTAATTATGTAACTATGTTAAACCTTACCTCTAAACAATACAATATACAACTCTAACTACGCTATCTCTATATATAATAAACTATAAAGTGATATATATCTATAAGAATTAAGGGCCTTCGACTAATTATAATACGAGCGCGTCTTCCCTACTATAATAGGTAGACGTACGAGGTATTGCAGCCCTACCTCCGCTCTAAGTAATATCGTACCGAGTTCTCTACGTCTACTCTAAAAGACCTAGAAATGTCCGCTCCGAGGGTTTGTCCGTTCCGAGGGTTGTTCTTATTATTCGTAGTTTCGCTAGCCCTAATTAGCTAGGTTTAGCAGCCTTTAAGTGTTAATCTTATCTTATCTTTTCAAAAAACACAGCTCGTCTAGTTTCTATAGGTAAAGGCTATTATAAGTGCAGTAGTAGAGGTTCGCCTCGCTTAAAGGGTTAGATAGATCGAGGAGTAACCTATTATCCGCAAGATCGACCCCGGCTAGCTTAGCTCTATAGTTTTGCCCTTAGTCAGTCTATTAGTCGCTTAATCTTTTAACTTAGTTAAAGTTTTGACTTAGCCTTAAGGTTTTGATTAAACCTTTAATAGGCTTAAAGCTTTAATCAAAGTTTTAATTAAAGGTGCCTTAGGCTTGTAGTATAGGTAAGGTTATATCTATAGGCGTAGCGATAATAGTAAGTAATATTAATAATAGCAGCGCTAGTCGTCTTAGCGCTAACTTTACCTTCTTTAACTAACAATAACTCGGCAACACCGTTACTAACATAGCGATGTCCTTCCTTTCTTAAATAGTAGTATACTCCGCAACACTGTTACTAATATAGCCGCGCCGGCCGCGCCGTCGTTATTATTACTATCGCCATTTACGCGCGCGCCGTCCTCGTAGATTGCCTAGGCCTTAAAGCCTCGATAGAATAAAGGAACAAGAGGGGGACCTATAGGGCGCGTTAGTAGAGAGGTAGTTTCCTAGAAGAGTAGCGAATAGTTAACGCGTTATAGCGCGCTTATTAACACTTAGTGCGCGTTTACCCTAGTAGTGTAGTCTTATTGTCCTTTGTTGCTAACAATTGCTTGCCTCTAATTAGTTAGCTAATAGCACCCCGGGGGTAGCATTGTTCCTAGGCTTAGTAGTAACATTATAGGCATTATGAGCTCTTAGCCTTCTTTGTGTTCTTTACGCTAGTCTAATACTTATTTAACAACTTAGTTATATCTTCAAACGAGTCTTTAGCCTCCTATAAGTCCTATTTAGGTAAATAGCCTTACTATCTTAATAGGTACTCCTTCTTGCCCTGCCTAGTCCGATGCTTTAGGATACGTTCTATAGACTACAGCTCTTCGCTATTAGCTAGTATGTCCTCGGATTTAGTAGGTGCTTTATCGCCTTCGCGCTAGTAGTATAGTTTAAGGAGGGAGATATAGAAGGTATTATAGATAGTATAATAAGGTGGAAGCTATAACTAGTAGGCCTGGCCATTACCCTTCGGTTCTCGGATACGAAATAGGCTAATGTATCTTAGTGCGAGCTTGGGCCTTGTTTTACTATTAGGCGATAGGTGTTTGCGGATGCGGAGGTTCTTAGTACTAAGCATAACTATATCGCCTTGTTTAAAGGTTATTAGTGTATAACGCTTATCGTAGTAGGCCTTTTAGTATTCTTAAGCCTTTGTTAACTTCTTAGCTATCTTAGCATAGATTTCTCGCATCTTCTAGACACGTTCTATTACCGCTAGTGTCTCTAGTACTTAACGCGCTTCCCTTTCCTTGCGCTCGGCCTCGAGCGAGGTAAATAGATCTTATAGCAACGCGGCGTTTTGACCTATTATAGCTATATATAGTGAAACCTTGGTTGATAAGTATATACTGTTGTTATATACGAATTCTGTAGGCTATAGGAGATTGACCTAATCCTTAGGATTCTCGTTAATATAACTACGTAGGTACTACTGTAGGGTGGCATTCTGTCTCTCTGTTTGACCGTTAGTCTATAGATAGAAGGCTGTTAATAGCCGATGCTTCAGTCTTAGCTATAGGTATATTTCGCTCTAATAGTGCGATATAAATGTCGAGCCCCTATTAGAGACTATCCCCTTAGGTGTTCCCTAATAGGTATAGAAGATATTAGTCTATAGCGCCTCTGCTATATTAATAGCAGTCTAATCCTTGCGAGCAGGAATGTAGCGAGCACCCTTAGTGAATCGGTCTATAATAACTAGTATAGCGTTAAAGACGTCTTTGCTTCCTCTTCGCTTAGTAGGGGGAAGACCTATAATAAAGTCTATTATAAGCTCTGCAAAAGGCTTCTTTAGAACAGGGAGTGAAGACAACTCGCTAAATAGCAAGTGCTTAGGTGCTTTAACTCGTTAACACACGGCATACGTATTTACGTAGTCCTTTATATCCCGCTTACTATTTAGCTAGTAGTATATACGCGATAGTAGCTCGTACGACCTCTCTATACTATAGTAACCGGCAAGCTTACTATTATAGTGTCGCTTAAGAAGTTCTTGTCTAATCGATTGTTTAGCGGGGACATAGTATCTGCCCTTAAACCTTAAGTAACCTTTGTCGTCGATCGACTAATTACTCTTACTAGATCGAGTCTTTCGCCTACTTATAAGCTTGTCTATACGTTTAGCAGCAAAGGCGTCCCTCTGCTAAGCCCGTAATAGCTTATCTATAAACGATTAACTATCCCTATTTGCAAGGTTATTTAATAGCACCCTCGCTGTTAAACGAGGTACGCATTATATATATCTAATAGCACTAGCAGCCGGATTAACTGCATTAGTGCTTTAATCGCTGTTACTATATATAGCGATATCGACTAGGGAGTTATTATAACTTCTCCTATCTGTATCCTTAGCTCTTGCCTTAATACGCACTATTAATATAGTAAGAGCATTAACATACTTCAAGCCGTCGCGGAGTCCGGTAAGCCGCTTATTCTGCGCGTACTTATTAATAATACGGGCTATAGCAATCTTATACTGCAGGGTTAGAAACAATAAATTAATAGATTGCTAAGTCCCGCTGTCGTAATTAGATCGCCTCGATAGGCTATTAGTAGGGTTGCTTACGCCTAGCCGATATAACACATTAAAATCAAACCTAGCGAGGTAGACGGCCTATCTAGCCTATCGACCTATGACTCTAGTAACCTTAGTAATGCTACGGAGGTTGTTATAGTCTATATAGACCTGTATCGTATATTAGGCCCTATCGAGGTAATGCCTCTAGTACTTAAAGGCCTCGACAATAGCTAAGAGCTCTTGCTCGTAGGTCTCGTAGCGACGCTTAGCATCGATTATCTTCCTCGAGAAGAAGGCAATCGGGTGCTAGTAATAGTTATTATCTAATTGCTAGGACATAATAGCCGATATAGCGAACTATAAAGCGTTAGTCTCAATTCGGATCTGCTTGTTTAGCACGAAATAGTGTAACAAGGGGACTTTAGTAAAGCGCTACTTTAGACCGTTAAAAGCGGCTTATACTCTATTAGTCTATTTAAACTCTCTATTCGGGTTGGCCTTAGTTTTAGTAAGCTTAGTTAGGGGCATTACGTGTCGTAAATAGCCCTTAATAAAGCGACGATAGAAGTTAGCAAAACCTAGGAATAATTGAAGCTCCTTAATGCTAGTAGGCGTTAGCTACTTAGTAATAGTCTTAATCCGGTTAGGATTAGCCTTAACACCCTTAGTTAATACGAGGAAGCTAAGGAAGGACACCTCCTTAGCAGCAAAGGTGCATTTAGAAGGCTTACAATATAGTCTATAGGCTCGTAGGCGATCGAGCACCTTACGGACTATAGCCTAGTACTCCGTAATGTTAGGTAAGTGTATGTAAACTAGGATGTTATCTAGGTAAACTATATAGAGATAGTCTAATAGGCCCGAAAGGGCCCGATTAATGTAGGACTAGAACGTTATAGAGGCATTAGCTAAGCCGAATAGCATAACTAAGTACTCGAAATGCCTATAACGAGTGCGAAAGGCTGTCTTCTATTTATCGCCCTTACGGATACAGATGCGGTAATAGGCGTCCTTAATATCTAATGTAGTATAGTAGTAAGCACTAGAAAGGCGATCGAGGGTCTTATTAATAAGAGGAAGTGGGCAGCGGTCTTTAATAGTAACAGTATTAAGCCTACGATAATTAATATACAGACGTAGGCTACTATCCTTCTTTAGTACGAACAGGATAGGGGCGCTAGCAGGGCTGTTACTATACCGAATGCGACCGTTAGCTAGGTTTTCCTCTAGGTACTTACGCAATACAGCAAGCTCTCGTTTACTAAGGTTGTAGAGGGGGCCAAAAGGGACCTCCTTGCCCTCTATAATATCAATCTTATAATCCGTCTCTTTAAATATAGGCAATATCGATGCTAAGTAGTGTTTAAACACATTAATATAGGTTTCTCGAATAGGCTCCGGTATACGAGCAAGCTAATTAGGGTCTATGCTATTAGGGGGCATAGGCTTATCGTTATCGCCTAATAGGTCGACTGTTAGGTTAGCTACGGCAGGTATTAGGTTGCCGATAAATAGGACCCTAATATCGTTAGGGCACTCGCTAACATCGATATATTTAATGTCCTCTTTCCTAGCGATTCCAAATCGCTACTATTAACTGCCTAAGTCTATAACTATAGTATAGTACTTAAGAATAGGGTTACTAATAATAATCTTAGATAGGAGGCTGTCTATATCTACCGCGTAGGCAGTAAAGTTTAGCAGGCGCTTATTGCCGAGGTCGTCCTTTAGGGCTATATAGATATAGTAGGCCCTATAGGTTAAGTGCCGAGCGTTATTAAACTAAGCAAGGGTTGGCAGGTTAGTCCTAGGCAGTTGTCGAAGGTCTAATTGCTTAGCTAGGCGATAGCTAATAAGGGCGCTAACTGAATTTCCTAGATCTAGTATAACCTTAGTCTTATAGTTAGTGTTAGGCCTGGATATAAGACAGGTACGAGTAATAGCTAGCACAATGTCGATAGTCTTACGCCGTACGAGGCTAATAGTTAGTGCGGCGCTTACTCTTTTTTCGAAGGTTAGCCTATAGGGGTAGCGTTAGCTGCTAAGAGGTACTTTCGGTGCTTAGCGGTAGCACGGTCGATTCGGGCCTAGTCCTTAGGTTTGTCGCATTAGCCTAGTAGATAGCTAGTGCTATTACAATTAAAGCACTTCAACCCGGTTAGTAGACTGCCGTAGCTATTATTACTGCTATTATTAGTCGAGCGGTTAGCATTATAGAGATACGAGCCCCTTCTACGGCCCCTATTACGGCCTCCTCTATATAGCCGTCGGCTACGGCTTCTCCTACGGTCGTTGCTACTATTCCTATTGTTAGTACTATTGTTCTAGTAGGAACCTTAGTTTCCTCCGCGGCTACGATAGGTAGCTAGGCGTATCTTAGATTCTAACCGTTATTAGAGCTATACTGTACGCTCTATAGTCTCGACTTTAACTATAAATTAAATGCGTATAAGATTGGTCTATTTAAACACACGGCGGCGGTCCAATTTAAGGACTAATTCCTATCGCAATTTAGGGCGTATTTCGGAAATCTAGATAGAGTCGGTCTTAGCTAGCAAATCGTCCTCGAGGGTCTTTAAATAGGCCTCAAATAAGCGAGCCGATTGATTAGTCTTTTATTTAGCTCGAAGGTATTAGTCCTAAGCGTGTTGTTGCCTTAGTATAGGGTTTCTAAGGGTGTCTAGTATAATAGTCTTATAGTCTTGCTACTAAACAGCGGTCTAGTCGTAAAGGGAATCAAAATAGTTATCCTATGTACGCTTTAGGTCGCTATTAATATACTGTATAGCGTATACGACTAAGGAATAGTCGTCTAGTAGCGCTCTTAGTACGTTGCGCTAGTTAAGCTTATAGTTACGGATGTAGTCGTTATACTGCTTTCGGCTAGAGCTATTAAACACGGTGCAGTCCTTAAGTTTAGCATCCTTCTTTTAGACTAGAACTGATAGCGAGGAAGGCCCTACTATCGGCTTAGTATTAGTTGTTAGGGCCTCCTAAAGGCGGCGAATCTCGAGGAGATTATCCTTTAGCTGTTGTTCTTAACGTAGGGCAGTAAGCCTGTTTTAGGTAGCTTCTTAAAGTCTCGCTACTAGCTAGGGCCTAAAGGCTAGTTAGCTATATCGACGGTTAACAATATTATTAAGAATGTCGTCGATAGGCAATTCTAGGTCGTTACCTGGAATTATAGGTTCTTCTTTAATAGGCTCTCTAGTAGGCCCTTTAGTAGGAGGCACTTTAGTAGGCACTTTAGCGGGAACTGTGCTACTAGCGTTGTTATTGCTAGCGCTGCTAGCGGCAGCACGGTTATTATTGCTTCGTAATAAGCCCGCTATTATAAGGGGTAATACTAATAATATATTATAGGCCCCTAAGATGCGGATGTAGCGGAATTAGTAGATATCGGCTTAGTGCGATTAACTCGGTATAATAGGCCGTATAGAAGGCCTTGCTTAATAATTAGTACGGTTGTTTCGATAGAATAGTACGTATAGGTCCCGTTCTTCGGGCGCAATATAGTTAGATTAGTTATTATAGCTATACCGCTAAAAGCTTAAAATAAGGACTATCTAGCTACTGCCCTTAAAGGGTAGATCGAATACTATATAAGAAGGGTATATTAGCAAGTAGATAGGGTAGTAGTAGGTACGAGTAGTATTCGATAAGGATTTAGGAGGAGAGGGAGGAAGGTAGGAGAGTTAGCCTAACGCTAAGCGCCAAGCCCTACCTAAGGCACTAAGACCCTAGCTTTACTCGGCCTAATTACATGCTAATTACGTATAGCCTCTTTAGCTCTAATATTATTACTAGTATTTAGTAACTAAATACGCTTAACCGGAGGAGGCTTCGACGCGTTATAGTTATTAACGAGATAGTCGATAATCTCGTCTCGCTCCGCTAAATTTAATAGGCTCGCTATAGATAGCCGCTTAGTCGTAGAAGTAACGATTAATACGACTCTTATAGTACTAGATAGCGGCGGCAGCGGTAGTAGCAGCGGCGGCGATAACAAGGTCTCGGAAGCTATAATATAATAGAGATAGTGTTATTATAATAATAAGAGCGAGTAAATATAAGGCGGCGATAATAATACCTTCTATAAAGCGTATACTACTACAAGCGGCAGTAAGGGCGATAATATAGGAAACAGTAAACAAACGCGTCTACGCGCCGGACGGCCACGGCAGTAGAAACCACCGCTCCGTGTCTTAGTCAGCGATGTTCTATTTCGGGTTCACCCAGGGTGGCGTACTGCTAGCGCTTTAGGTATTATACTGGCAGGCGTCAGAAAGCAGCCAGAATGCGTGCATGTGTGCAGTGCAGTGGTGGTGGAGGGGAGGCTCGCGCGGTGGGGTTCTCTGTGGCGTGCAAGGATGGTGTGTAGGTTAAAATACGCCTCGCAGATCGGGTCCGTGTGAGAAGAGAAACACGCTGCACCTGACTGACAAGACTTTCTCGCCTCTACCGCCGTAAGTTACCACGCTGTTCCTGGCTGCGACGACTACTCCCGGCCACGTCTCAGGCGCAACCTCCGACACCGACACATGATGCTGGCTGCGTGCTCGGAAGTCGTCGGGCTACTCATACCTTGGCTGGGAAAGATGTGGTGGGCATCTCTTGGTACCTCGCTAGTCCACAAACTCAGACGGAACCACCAGTTGTATTCTAGCAAGAGCCAGGTCCTGTCAGGTACACGCGCGTGGGAACTTCGCACGCCCTCCCCTCGCGCCCCGCATCAACACTCGCCAGACACATGCTCTGCATTATTGATCCGCACCTCGCACAACACCAGCGAACTCGGCATCGACCTCTACGCCCGTATGCTAGATATACTTGCGCCTCCCCGTAGCTCGCACTCGCAGTGCCATCTACCCTTCCGACTCCGTTACATGCCACATCTCGGGGCCAGCCAACACACGTCGTTGAAACACCCGATCTGGGATGATAGCTTCTCCTTCAAACGTGTCAGCTTGGGCGGTGACGAGTGTGACGGAGTGTGACATCGCGTAGAGTGTTTGTAAGGTACTACTCCATAGGTATCGTATCGTGAGAATGCTGTTCGTTGTCTGTACTCCACACCGCTCCGACCTTGGTGGTCGTAAGACCCTCAGTCGGAAGGCCAAGCTTTCAGGTGACAGACTTCCGTTTCGTCTCGCTCAGCGAACACTATCCTCACCCTTCACCAGCCTTCTCCCAGCGGACTCCGAAAAGTAAACTCACGGTCATGCCAGCATGCAGTGATACTTCACTACACCTCGCATTCTTTATTTACTGTAGAACTAATCAACCACGACTTCTGTACACCAATCGAGGTTTCGTTTCCAGTGAATGGATCTTCGGCTTAGCGCATGGTGTGCATAAGCGCAGGCTAGCCGTGCTAGAGCAATCGCATCCTGCAAGGGCGAGTACAGATGTACATCTAGCCAGGTACCCAATGAAAGCTGCCGTCCCGACGATACGAGACGAGGATGCTTGGATCAAAAGACGTTGAGACGTCAGACATTATTCTTTTTCTCTCTTCTGCTGCAGGTGAAAGTGTTCGGCAGCAGTCAGACAGACAAGCCACCACTCACAAATGTCGCAATGGTCTTGCAGGAGGGTTTTATAGTTTTTTGCCGCCGTGATGTGAGGGGCCTGAATCGCAATGAAGATGGTGATCGTGCCGGCGCTGACTCGTCGGTTCCGTGTGCGGATACTGCAACGGCGACCAGCGACCAGCCATCCATCTCCCTCCCTCGCTTGCGGCGGCTTTTGACGTACTATGCTATACGTACTGTACACCGACATGCAGACATGCATTTTCCTGACAGGAGGATTTCTAATCAGGGCGCGCCGGCTTCCGGGAACCAACATAGTTTGTGAGGATGGCGAGGCTCACGACACGGTCGACACCTTGCTACACCTGCAGCTCGAAGCAATATCCGTTTGCGGGTTGGTAGCGAAACGGAAACAGTCTGGTGCTCGCACCGCAGCGCTGAAGAAAATTGTTGCATATTCGTGCCGCTCAAAGAGATTGGTTGGTCGGTATGACAGGAATGAGACGAGAGCAGCAGTGAAGTCGAAAAAGAGTTGGTCTCGTCTCTTTCACTTTCATTATCACATGGATCTTGCCCGACGATAGACTATTCTACCGTTGTCAAGACTAAACATCTCCTCGTGTCACCAGCCTTCTTCTCCTTCTCTCAGGAACATGAATCGTCACAAAAGCTTGACTACATTCGCAACGTCGCCGCTGCATGCCACTGAATTCTTTGGAATTATTAGCAGTATCTACGTTGCCAAGTACCGACCTCTTGGATCAGTTTAGGATTTAAGTATGCTGAGCTGACTCGTATTGTCCCTGACACGTTTCTTACCCTGTACTGAAGGACTGTACTCGTCCGAAAGCTGTGTCCTAGTCTTTCGTCGCCACTTCCCAGGGCCCAGGCTGCCCTACTGCCAACCGCCAAAGGTCCCAGACGCGTGTTTCTTTGCGTGCAAAGGACCACTGAGTGGTGAAGTGCTGTGACGCTACCACAATCATCCTCCCATCTCGAATCTTAGCAGGAATCGTCATATGCCTCGAAGGACATTCGAGTGGAAGATGACGAGCAGTCGTGTGTGTGCGTGCTGACAATTAGAATTCTCCATATCTCAGTAGGTTGTCGGCGGTCGCGCACTTTCACTTCGCCTACTGTATGTGTAGCATCAGCAAGAAATGCTCACTGCCATGATTTGGCCGAAACTTATGAAGTAGTTCCTGGTGCTAAAAAGAACCTGGATGAGCTGGTACCTGCATTACTTAGAAAGCAAGCACTGCCTACCGAACTCGCAATTTTGAACGATGTAAATCGTCGACCTCTGATGGTTTTTTTGATGGAGGCTGATTGACGGCTGCAATTCCGTCCAGACCCTTCTGCGAGGCACCAATAAGGCACCAATCTGTCGACGTTGCTGCCACCTTTCACGGACTCTAGCAGCTAGACTTGGCAGTGCCTTCGGTGAACGTATTATGACACTTTTTGAAGGTAGCAGCCTCGAATGATCAATTGTCCTTTCAATTGCATTGACACTGTTCCGTTCCATTATACTACCTGTCAGCTCACTCATCTTGAATTTGTGTTGATGTGGTGGTGAGAATCGCAGAGTTGAGCAGGGACCCCCGTCCCGTGCATGTGAGAACCTACAGAATTCCAAGCTCTCAATGACTACCAGCTCCATCATCTCATCGTCTCGTCCACCCTTCCAGACCACGTTACCACACCTCCTCCACCTCAAAACATCCTGCCTGGAGGTCACCACTAATTTCTCGACATCGGATTCCACATCGCGCGTCTCCCACGCCTGCGACAACAAAGCCGAATCCCCACCCTCGACTGTATCCCACCCCGAAAGCAGGTGATAGGGAGCGAGAGTAGAGCTTTTCAGCGCAGCGACCAGTCACAATGGCTGCTCCATACCAAGACGGGCCGCCAAACCCCGAAGATGGGCAATACAGTCAAGATGGTGGCTTCGCACAACAACCAGCGAGCGGCACAGCTGGAAAGAAGAAGCGCGCATATGCTGGGCAGGCATATGAGTTCGGCGCAGGTGGAAATGCGATATCTGGAGGAGCTCCTCCAGCGGGATCGCCATATCCAGGTCAGCAGCCGCCGATGATGGGAGGTTATGGCTATCCTGGCCAAGCAGCAGCACCACAGCAGCCTGGATATGGCATGCCTCCGCAGCCAGCATATGGCGATCCAAATGTTGGCAGCCCTGTACCTCAAGGCGGATATCAACAACCTTCATATGGCGCGCAGGCAGGATATGAGCCTCCAGCACCTGGCTACCCTACCCCAGGACAGCCTCCCATGCCTCAGCAGGGAGTCGCTGGCATGACACAGCAGTTTGCACAGATGGGAATGGGAGGAGCACAACCTCCACAACCGATGCCACCTCAGCAGCAACAAGGCGTGCAGATGCGGCTAAATCCTCTCCAGCCTGTGGACATCAGCATGCAAGGCCAGCCATTCCACGTTACCGACTTGGATCAACCTCCGCCTCCAATAATTCTGCCTCCGAATGTGAGCATCTCAGTGTACAGTTTTCCGAATGCTCATTGCTAATTTGAGATAGTCATCTGTCACACCTTCGCCACATGCCAACTGCTCACCAAAGTATGTGCGATCCACACTCAACGCCATGCCAGCTACGAATTCACTTCTCAAGAAGAGCAAGCTGCCTTTTGCTTTGATCATTCAGCCCTATGCCGCTCTTCACGACTCCGAGGATGATGTTCCAGTGCAATACGACCAAGTCATTGCACGATGCCGAAGATGTAGGACCTATATGAATCCATTTGCGAGCTTCCTGGACCACTCTCATCGATGGAGATGTAACATGTGCAATCTCACCAATGATGTTCCGCAAAGCTTTGATTGGGACAGCGTGAAGCAGCAATCAGTCGACCGATGGCAACGGCCAGAATTGAACTACGCAGTCAGCGAATTTGTTGCACCACAGGAGTACATGGTCCGAGCGCCGCAACCACTGATCTACCTCTTCTTGTTCGACGTAAGCTATGCTGGTGTTACAAGCGGGCTTTTGGCAACAGCTGCAAGATGTGTTTTGGAAAGTCTTGATCGGATACCAAACACCGACCGAAGAACGCGACTTGGTTTCATGGCCGTAGACAGCTCGCTACACTACTTCAGCATTCCTCGTGATGGCGGAGAGAGCAATGATGCGAAGATGCTGGTGGTGAGCGACCTCGATGAGCCTTTCCTGCCTACTCCGGAAGATCTTCTGGTCAATCTGACGGAATGTCGAGCGAACATCGAGGCCTTCCTGGGCAAGTTACAGGGCATGTTCGCCAACACCACGAATTACAGCTCCGCCATGGGTTCAGCGCTCCGTGCAGGCCACAAGCTGATCAGTCATGTTGGCGGAAAGATGGTTGTCCTCTCCGCGACTCTGCCGAATGTTGGTTTCGGCAAGCTTGACATGCGGGAAGACAAGAAGCTGCTCGGCACTTCAAAAGAAAACAGCTTACTTCAGACGCAGAGCAGCTTCTACAAGAGCTTTGCCGTCGAGTGCAGCAAGACCCAAGTATCGATCGACATGTTCCTGTTTAGCGCACAGTATCAGGATGTGGCTAGCTTGAGCAATTTGCCAAGATACACGGGTGGTCAGACCTACTTCTACCCAGCATGGAACGCCGCGAGGACAGAAGACGCCATCAAGTTCGCGACCGAGTTCAGCGACTACTTATCTTCGGAGATCGGACTGGAGGCTGTCCTGCGTGTGCGCACTACCACAGGACTGCGACCAAGTGCATTCTACGGAAACTTCTTCAACCGATCGAGTGATCTGTGCGCATTCCCAGCAATGCCAAGAGATCAAGCATACGTCGTCGAAATCGCCATCGATGAAAGCGTTACAAAGGCTTTCGCATGCCTGCAAGTGGGTGTGCTGCACACCACATGCAATGGCGAGAGACGCATTCGCGTAATGACGCTCAGCATACCTGTAACGCAGAACATGGCGGATGTCTATGCATCTGCCGATCAGCAAGCTATCACGCACTATTTTGCACACAAGGCTGTCGAGCGAGCTTTGAGCAGTGGTCTCGATGCTGCACGCGACGCACTACAAGGCAAGCTCGTCGAATTACTACAGACCTACAAGAAAGAGCTTGGAGGTGGCAACATGGGCGGTGGTGGGTTACAATTTCCTGCCAACCTCCGCGCAATGCCCATGCTCTTCCTTGGCCTCATGAAACATGTAAGTCGACGTATATCTTCCTTCTCATGGCGAGTACTAACAAGATGCAGCTCGGCCTCCGCAAATCTGCTCAGATTCCAACAGATCTTCGCAGCGCTGCTCTCTGCCTCCTCTCGACATTGCCACTGCCACTCCTAATGCAGTACATCTACCCACGAATGTACTCCCTCCATGACATGCCCGACGACGCCGGCCTTCCACACGCGGAAACAGGCGCAATCGTCATGCCTCCCCCTCTCAACCTCACATCCGGCAACATCGTCCCATACGGCCTATACCTCATCGACGACGGGCAAACACAATTCCTCTGGCTCGGCCGCGACGCCGTGCCCGCGCTCATCAACGACGTTTTCGGCATCGAAGACAAAAACCAACTCAAGCAAGGCAAAACCTCTCTGCCCGTCCTCGACACGGAAATGAACGAGCGCGTTCGCGCCGTCACGGAGAAGTCGAGGGATCACCGCGGTAAGGGTTGTGGTAGTATTGTCGTCCCGCCTCTGTACTTGATTCGAGAGGATGGGGAGCCTTCGTTGAGACTTTGGGCTCAGACTATGTTGGTGGAGGATCGTGCTGATCAGGGGGTTTCTGGGGCGATGTTTGTTGGGATGTTGAGGGAGAAGGTTGTTTCGTAGAGACAAAGGGGGATGCAATTTTTTTTTGTGGGTGTGGGGTGTGTGAGAGCGTGCATTTTGACAAGTCAGCATGCGTCCGTATAGCAGACAGACGTGAGCAAGCACGATTGAAAGTTAGCAAGGCAGTTAGGTGATGATGGACACAAGATATTGTAGGGTGCGTGGATGGGTGGGTTGTGGGGTTGTGTTGAGAGAGAGAGAGAGAGAGAGAGAGGAGTCGTCAGTAGAATAGAAAGATGTGAAAACATGTCGAAAGGAAAAGAAGAGAGGGTCTTTTTTTTATCTACTACTTACATTGATAGATTGTTGGTGATTTATGGATTCCAACTGATAAAGCTATGATGCAGTCAGTCAGTACCTGCGATGACAAGAAATGGGCATCGTCGGTTCGCTCTTTCGTGATCATGAGGAACTTGAATGCGGTATGGATATGCTTAGCTACGTATAATTATGAACAAAGATGCTGCGTATAGTCAAAAAAAAAGAATGATTAACATAACAAGGGTATCTCTCTCTCCATCCATAAATCAAACCCAGTATTACCGAATCCAAGGCATGCCTCCTGAGCGTTCATGTCGTGTCATATAATTCGCGTCGTTTTCGTCAAGGGGTATCAAATCAATCAATCAATCAATGAATCATCCCATCACTCAACAACAACATTCGGAAACCCCCTCCCCTCCTTCCCCCTCCGAATCTCCCTCGCCCTCTCCTGCGTCCACTGTCCAAGAAACAACAACTCACATTCCTCTTCATCATCAGAATCAAACTCCACTTCTTCTTCTTCCTCCTCCCCCATTCCCTCCTCTCCTTCTTCCTCCCCCTCCCACCTACAACTCCTACACACCCGTTTCATCTCCAAAATAAACTTCCCGACTTTATACTTCTGCGACTCCTCTTCCGCATGGATGTATTTCCACCCCAACACCGCTCCGCACTGCGCGCAGGAAATGTCCCCGACTGTGTGCGCCCCCGTGACGAGTTGGCGGGGGACGGGTTTGTGGGTGTAGGTGTTGGGGAGGTTGGGGAGGGGGTCGGTCGTTCGTGATGGGGTTTTGGAGGGTGAGGATGGTGAGGGGGGCGCGACTAAATAGGCGCGGCCGTGTCGCCCGGTGAAACCTTTGGAGATTATTTGTGAGGATAGGGCCAGGTCTGAGAGGCAGCGGGCGCAGCGGAGGTGGGAGGTGTGGGTTGTGAGGAAGGTGGGGGCGTTTGTCGGTGGGGAGGGGGAGGTTGTTGAGGAGGAGGAGGAGGAGGTTGTGCTTTCGAGGCTGGGTTTGCGGTTGCGGCGTCGGAAAGGGTTGGAGGGGAGGAGGTAGGTTGGGAAGAGGGTTGGTGGGGAGGGGAGGGTTGGGAAGGGCATGGCAGGTGCCCGTTGTGGGAGCGGGAGGGATGGAGACAGTGGTGAGAGGATGGCCGTGAGCGTTTCGATGAGTAGAGTCTACCAAGTCATGGTGCTGCTTTTGCTACGAGTGGTAGGTAGGTGGTCGTGTGTTAGGCGGTATGGACTCCCTGTCGCTCGGTAGTTGTGTGCCTTTGTCTCGAGGTTGGAGTGATAGCTGCTGTAGGGATGATAAGAGGCATACAGCACAAGCATCAGCAGAGCAGGGCGTGATCAGCAGTGTGCGAGTGCGATGGTAGTCATATGAGCCTCACCATCCCCCCGCCAATATCGCCGTGCCTTCCCGCAGGCCATGTCATGCCATGCCATGCGAGAGAGATGGAGAGAGCACATGATGCGCTGATCATGAGCTGAGCGGCACAGGCGGTAAAACAAGCTGCACGGAGGGCAGAGCTTGGATTAGCTAATCTTTTGCTCAGCCCTACCAAATATGGCTTGGCTTGGCTTGGCGTTGATCGCGACTTCTCTTTCGCGTCGATCCTCACAAACACATCGACACTTGCTGCATCCCATTCACATCTCAGCAACCACGGTGGCAGCTCACAACAATGCCCTCAGAGTCCCCAACCCCGGACTCACACTCTCCCGACTCTTCAACGTCAAAACCGCTCCCCTCTGCGCAAAATCCACAAAATCCTCTACCCTCCCCTCCTTTCCCTTCTTCACCATCCCAGCCAACAAAGTCCCTAGAAACGTATCCCCAACTCCATTCACACTCACAACTTCCTCATCCCGAACTTTCTCGATTGCTGGGAATAACCGCATATACACGCCCCCAACCGCACTCCCCTCCTGGTCCTCGTTCTGGTTTTGGTTTCGGGATAGGATATAAGGCGCATACTCTCCATCTCCAAGTCTTGGATCTCCAGACGGGATGATTTGCGTCAACAAGACACCCTCGGAACCGAGTTTGGTGAGGATGCATGGGATAAAAGGTAGTAATTGTATACACATTTGCGGAATTCCTTCATCAACAAGTTTTGGGGTTGTGAGTAACGAGAGTTGTGACCGGGCTCCTGAGGAAGGGATGCCGAAGGAATCGAGGATTTTCCACCAGTCCGGGCGAGTGAAGAGAGCATTCTTACGAGCGGCGGTGTGCATGCTCACAAGTTCGTGGGTGTTGGGGGTTGTGAGGTGGATTGAAGGATTTGGAAAGACTGATAAGGTGTTAGGGGGAAGGAGGAAAGGGGTGATGCTTTTGGGTGCAGAGACGGGTTCGAATGATACGAATGTTTTCGTCGTTGATGAGAGCCAGAGGGATAAGTATTCCGACCCCCAATTCCCGTCCACAACGAGATGCGAAGGGTTCGTAGCGTGAAGTTGCGGTCTCCAGAACTTTTCGAATATTTCGGTCGAGACTTTCTCCAGGATACTCATATCGGCCATTGCGAGGACTAGATTCTTGGATTTGTCGTTTATGGCGATGTATTGGGCTGTACGGTGGCCGGAGGTGGTGGGCAGGGTTTTGATTCCGGCTGTGGACATTTCGGCGAAGGTGAGGGCTTCCAGGGCGGATTTTCCGGTTAGGTCGTCGGCTACTGCGCTGCAGAGACGGACTTTGGCGCCTAGTAGATGCGCGGCGCGGGCGACGTTGTGGCCGACTCCGCCTAGGGATTGGGCGATTTGGGCTGGGTTGGAGGTTTGGAGTTCGGGGGATTGGAGGTTTGAATCGGGGCGTGGGGTGAAGTCGCATGCGAGGTCGACGGCGAGGCTTCCGGCGACGAAGATGTCGGTTGGCTGGTCTGGATAGCGTAAGTCACTTTTGAGGTCGTCTACCGAGTTCTGGAATTGCTTCTTGTATTCTTGAATCATTGACAGGACCATGGTATCGTTGACTCCGAGAGAAGCATTCCTTGCGTCGTCTTGTGGTGGCGACGAGGTTGATGGACGTGACGCTCTTGATGGTGGGGATGGTCGAGCTATACTCTGAAGATTTGATGTGTGCGTTGATTGATGCTGCTCTGCTGCGGATGCCAGAGATGTCGATATCCCATCAGCTGTATAATTCACCGAACCTGGTCCAGTGATTGTGCTGGAAGATGGACTGTGATGACTGATTGCGCTAGTTCTATCAGCTGTTGCCCTCAGCAGGATGATGGAAGGCAACCCACTGATTTCGTCTAGTGCTTTGACTCTGCTCCAATCTTTGTAGCGCCACAGCCACCTTAGCAGCTCTCACCACATTTGCCTCTACCAGTGCTGTATTTGCTTCAACACTCTTGCTACCAGTAATTTCTTTGATTTTTGCGAGTATATATGGCGTGGCGGCATTCCCAGTGGCACCTGCCGTCAAGGCTGCTTCCAACGCCTGGTTGATCGCTTTCTCCATGACCTCAAAGGCTACAGAATGCTGTTCTGGTATCGGATTGGCAAAATGTAGACCAGACTGAAGACCGAGTGTCTGCTGAGCCATGACTACACGCGCAGCAGCCTCTTCATCTGCCAACACCATCGGGCTCTTAATTCCACTTTCACGTGTGTAGAAAGCAGGGAAGTCGACATTTCCTGTTCTGCCATCCGCAAAGGTCGCCACAGCCACGCCTTGTGTTTCTAGATATTCCAGCGTCTTGGGTATATCCAGAAACGATTTGCATCCTGACGAGATCACAGCGACGGGAGTGCGACCAAGCTCGGTAAGGTCAGCAGAGACATCCATAGTCTGTTCTGCCCCTCTGTGAACACCTCCAAGTCCTCCTGTGCCAAAGATCTTGATGCCGGCCATGTGTGCCAAGACCATTGTGCCGGAGACCGTCGTGCCTCCATTGAAAGATTTCCCTTGGGAATTCTTGAGACCAAGCACGAAGGCAAGATCTCGCCTCGAGACTTTCAGCAGATCGGGTGAGCCCGGTTCTGCAATCAGCCTCCTCAGCTCATCGGTGCGCAGACCAACTCGTGCCACGCCTTCCAGTATGCCTATGGTTGCTGGAACGGCTCCATTGGTCCTGACAAGCGATTCCAGTCTCGATGCTAGAGCCAAGTTTTCGGGATACGGGAAGCCGTGAGTGTAGATGGTGCTTTCCAATGCTACGACGGGCTTCTTCTCGGAGATGGCTTGTCGGACTTCTTCCGAGACCTGGAAGTATCTCGAGTTTGACGCTATGCTTCGGTGCTGAAGTTTTCGTGTAGTAGTCCTGGGTACACGAAGGGCATTGATGCTTCGACACGCCCTGCAAATCCAGGGAAGAGCAGACATGATGCCTTCGCTCGCCATGCAAATGATTGGGAGAGCAGAGCTTAAGGCTTGTCTGTCATGGAGCAGAACAGCTTTTCATATGATCTCCTATTGAGTGCCGGTTATGCTGCCGCAGACTATGCTGATATGCATCAGGTTCGGGACACCGGGTGGTGTTGCAGTCAAACGCCGAAGTGAAGGCGTTCGGATGCGGAGCCAGCTCCGGCCCATCACCCAAAACTTTCACGTGGCTGCGCGTCTCGAAAAGTATTTATTCCTCCTCCATCCACCAATGTTGTCTCTGCGATTGAGGCAAGCCCAGGCTGAGCTGCAGACTCATCGAGCGTGGTTGCTCTCGTTCAGGTCGACACGCAATCTCCACAAATATACCAGGCATCATGAGCAGCCAGAGTTCGCCAGGTCCTTTTCCACTGGAAACAAATCAAATGCGGAATTGAGGATCATACGTCAAGCTGGACAGAGCCGGAATAAATCTGCAGCAGAGAGGATTCTATCTCCTGCGCAACGTCGGAAGCAAGAGCGGTGGGCTGGGAGAAGGCAGACAAAAGATGTGCAATTAGGAGTTCTATCCGTGCGGACCGACCTTCTACAGGCTGTCGATGAGAAGAGGACGAAGGACGTAATTCGGCTTTACACTGAGCTCCCGGAGAAGCGGCCGTTGGCAGGACAAGACTTCGCTGCCGTAGCGCAGTGGATGCATCAGGCTTTGCGCCTTGAGAACCAAGCGCGCGCACGGAATGAGAACCCCAAGCGCGAAACCACCGACGAGATCCTTGCATTCGTCGATCAACTGGTCAAAGATGTTCGACAAGGAAATGTTGTGCCTTCTGCTAAGGCCAACCAGCACATACTCGGCGTATACAAGGAGAGCGGGACGCTGGACGCTGGGAAGAAGTTCTGGTCTTGGCTGGAAGGCCAGGACGACTCCCACGTACAAGTCCAGACATACGCAGTGGCCATCGAGCTACTAGCTGTTGGAGGTGCTCCGCTGGATGAGATGGAGGCTCTGTACGGAAGGGCTTTGATTCGTTTCCCTGGCTCCTTCCACGCCTACCATTTGTCGCCAGAAGCCATTCTACATGACCGCGAGCTGCCTCCACCACTTCGAGGACTTCCACTTGGCCTGCTACAAGCCATCACGACAGCGAGACTGATGCGGGGCGATTCTCGGAATGCTTACCTCGGACTCGACACTGCCTTGAGACTGTATCCTACCTCTGTCGATGTTCGCTTCCTCCGCCTCTTCATGACAGAAAGACCGCTATCCGAGGCTTACACCGTCTTCGCAATGGCATGTCAGGCAGGGTACAAATTACCCACGCAGACATTTCGCGGTCTGCTGGACAACTTGCGCGCGAGCACTGACTCGAGCAGTTTCCATTCCCAGATCGCTACTCTGCGTACGGTCATTGCCGCGATATATCTGCAGCTCGGCTGTTCTGGTACTGTCTTGGCCAACGCTACCGGTCTGCTTATAATCACCATCACAGAACTTTTTCGGCTTCCCGGGGTTGCCGATATCGAGCCAAAGAAGCGGAAAGGGCTTGTTGACAGTGTGCTTGCTCTCATTCGCAAAGTCTTCGAGGTTTTCGCGCGGTATGGTGTCTTGCCTCCACAGTCGGTCTTCAATGCCATTATTAACAACATCGCTGGTCATGGTGGGTCTAAAGAAGTCCTTGGTATCGCCTCGAAGGATCTGGAAGCGCTTGGCATGGAACCAAGCGACGTTACTCGCAGGTCTATCTTGAACGTTGCCGGCATATACAAGGATGAGGAGTTCGTTAAGCAATCGTGGGATGACATCGTCGCCGCAAGAAGGGAGAATGACGAGTGGCCCATCGATAAAGACTTCTACGTGCTTGCGAAGGCTTGCAAGCGGATCGGATCTGACTTCGCCCAACAGCAGTTTGATGCACTGAAGACATTTGTACCTGACGACAAGCACAGCGCCATCCAGTATGCTATCGACAAGAAGGAAGATTTCGCATCATCCTCGGATGCGAATCAGAAGCCTATCGGCTTTGACGAGCTACGTGCTGGCATCGAAAAGCTAGATGCTGATTTGGACGTTATTGACAAGATCACCATCGATCGTCCTACAGTACTGGACTTCAGCGAGCACAATGTGCCTCTAGAGCTCCTCGACGTTGCAAAGTTGATGAAGAGCCCGCTTGCCATTCCTGAAGCAGACATGCGCTCGATATATGATAGCCTCACCACCGAACACGCTGCAGCGTCCACTTCTGGCGAGACTGGCGAAAACGAAGCGGCAGAGTCCCTCTCGCAGGCTTCAGAAGCCCTTGACGAAACTCCATCTCTGGAAGAGCTTCCACGGAGTTTGCACAACGCACGACAGCCCATCCGCAGCGTCACGAACGTGACACTTGGCGAGCTCCGCTACCGGAATTGGAAATGCATCAATTATTTGCTGCAATTGGCAGAGAAGCATGACCAAGACTATGACGAACTGGTAGACAAGGCAATTGCAGCAGGCACGAGACCGCCTGCGCGAATCATGGGTTTCACCAAAGAAGAAGCGCAGATCATGGTCGAGACAGGGCTGAGTGAGCCTCTCAGAGTAAGCAAAGTTAAGAGAAAGGACAAGGTAGATGGACGTGCTCCCGGGCGTGAGCTGTCGAAGCAGCTTGCTTTGCAGGAAATCGTCAGGCTTAGAGGATTGCCAACACCAACGAATAGCAGCTGATGACTCCGCTACGGGAGGAAAATCTCTAGATAATTTTCCACTCCAGACGAGAGTGTTTCATGATCCGTAGCGGGGGGGCATCAATCAGCTTAGTACGGCACCGCAGACCGGGCCTCATCATTGCTTGCCAACGCATATGTCGGATGCCTCTGCTGCGCTGATCTCACCGTTTGCGGACATTTCACGAAACATACGCACAGCTGGGATCTCATCCTCCAAAATTCGATTCCCGCAATTTCCTTCTCAATCCAAGCTAGACCATGTTCCTCAGATTTCTTTCCATCGCGCGAGCTCGGGTTTCGCGGCTCCGGTGGTAGTAGGGGGGAAGTTTCCCCAAAGTGCTTTTCATGTCTTTGATCATGAGACTTTGGGTAGGATAGGGATTGCGGTTGATTCGGCCAGGCTCCGGAGGCGTTGACGGAACCTGTCGTCCCCGATCTCTTTTGACCTACGTGTAGCGGGGGGTTGAAGACTTTGTTTATATAATTTTTGAGAATTTTTGTTTGGCTTGGAATTGCGGTGTTGATGCATAAGGGGAATCCGGAGGAGTTTTGAAGAAGTGGGAAATGGGCGAGGAGGGCGGAGACGTATCGGGAGACTTTCCAGGTTGGGGGCTTGTATGCGGGGGAGGTATGTGTCTTGAGAGATGATGTATAGGCTGCAGTCTTCGGCTTCATGGTCAAACTAGTTGGCTATACTACAGTATCTTCCTTAAATGGAGCCCCTTTGCTTCTTAGCCGTCCGATCTTGTTCCGCAACTTTTGCAAACTTTTTCTAGCAGGCGGACTGATGTATACCATGGCGAGCAAGACTATCGGCAAGGAGATGACAAACCAGACCCAAATCTGCAAATCGCCCGTAGCCAGTTGCTGGAAGTTCATGCCAAAGAAAGAAGTGGTGAATGACAATGGCACGAACACGAAAGCTAGGCGTGTCAGTTGGGCAACTCGCCCCGCCTGCTCGATGCCTTTCTTCGACTCCGCGATGGACAAGCTGCTCATTGTGTTGTGAAGACCTGATTCACATCGAGCCGCGATCCTTTCCGTCCTCCGCAAGAGACTCTTGTAATCTGTCGTGACCTTGACCTTGGCTTCATCCACTCTCTTGATCAGTCGAAAGTCTTCGGTGTCTATGCTCGGCCACGGCAGCCATTGCTGCTGTTGTACACTATCTTCGATCTCTTGCATGTTGCCCTGAACAGAGTGCATCAATTTCTGGATCATGAGGAGATTCTCGATCCAGATCTCGGACTCTTCGGCTAATCTAGCCTTCCGTAGGTATTGTTCTGTGCTTTGTGCAAGCATATTGATGTACTGAAGCTGCGATGCCGAGGCACTGGAGAACAATGCTGACAATGCGTAGAAGGGATCATGGCGCGCAGTCTTGTGATCGAGACCTAGAGCGCAGTGAAAGGGTAACGAAGCTATGTTCTGTCCTAGGCAGTTCGATGAGTGGGATGGGCTCCCGGTGCTCCGTGGCGTTACTTCACTCAGGTCGTCGGGTGGTACAAGAATCGCAGGTATCGTCTGCATGTGACAACCATTCTTTCTCGAAGAGCCTCCAAACCAAGAAGCGGCCACGATTTCGTGAAGGTCGTTGGCGACATCAGACCATACGATACCTATCAAGGTCAGTCACCAGTTCATCACGACGTTCCTTGGCATCACTCACTGATCCAGCCGCCGTTGAAGCTCTTGACATATGCAGAGACGACCTGCTCAACAGACATTGTCTGCAAGTCATGGAGAACCGAGTTCCGAATCACAGACTGTCCCGACGATGCTCCACGACAGCCATCGCGGCGTCGCAGGCGCGACTGGTACGCCTTGAGCTGCTCACTATGCTTGGCGCGAGCTTTCCGCAAATTCTCTCCATCATCGGAGTCCTGGACATCCACGATGCACTTGATGACGGTGAAGATGCGAAACTGCAACATGCTCGCACATTGCGATGGCAGCGGCGGATACGCGCATGGATTTGGCTGGCCAGCATAGGCCTGGTATTCAAGGTGCCTGTTGAAGAACTCGCAGCTGATCCCGAATGCTTGGCCCAAATTCTCGAGCCACTGGGCCGTGGGGCGGCCTTGAAGGAACAGAACGCTCGACGGCGTGGCATCGAAGTGGCCTCGCGACACGAGATCCCTGAACTGCTCCGGGGAGCTCAACGGTGTGGTTTGAGCACCGGCTTCTCCAAAATCACAGAGCGTCACCAGTCCCGCTTGCTCTGATGACTGGGTTCGCTTTGCAGTCATGAACTCGCACAGGTCGTACAGGTGGGAACCAGAGTAGAGTGCACGACTGGGAGAAACGGCCGCAAATGCGGCAAGCTGCTCCCGATATGCCGTGCAATCTGGTCGGTCACATGTTGTTAAGACAGATATTCCAACGACGGCGGGAGACACTTACATCGCGCTTCTGAATGCATGGCATCTGTCGCGGGATTGCAGAATTTAGCTGCACGGTGGCAGGTGGGCGCACAGTTCAACACTTTTCAACACTTAGCGACGCATCGTGTTGCCTTCGACATGAGACAGCCTCGCGCCCGATCATGGGCGAGACGCCTCATGTGCAAGCGCCAACGCAAAGACCTAGAACTACCTTGGAATACGCGCTGGCGGCCTCGCGACGAGCAGGGCGTCTGGGCAGTGTGATGATGTGCAGTCAGCCTTTCGTAATTCTAGCGCCTCTTGCAATTCGTCCCTTTGGCGTGCGGATGGCGCCAACGAAGGACGCATCGCAGGGCTATGTACAAGGCTGTTTTATCCAATACGAGAAGCAGATTAGATCCATTTCAAGCTAAAATTTACTACTCGGGCGGCGGACGCTACTGTTACTCGCTTCCTAAAAGAGGGTGTAGCTCTCGTACGAGATATTAATTTATCTATCCGCCCCTCGCCTAGCAAATAGTAGGGAAAAGTATCTAACGAAACCCTAGATATCTATCTCTAGGTAGATATAGGGAGATTAAGCCGCTAAAGCCTAAACCTTACCCTTTAGCTACAATTTCCGCTAGTAATACTCGTACTTCTATACTAATAAACTACGCGTTTCGTATTATATTCTAACTACTAACTAACTAGCTACTAACTACTATTATATAGCGGAAATTCGTTCTTTAGTACTAGGGGACCTCTTTACTACCGAGAGGTTTAAAGAGTATTAGTATAGTATTAGGAATTTCTACGACTATAGTATAGTACTAGTAATAATCGCCTATCTTTTATAAATAATACTAGTAGGTACGTACAGATTATTAACTCCCTCTAGAATAGCGAATTTAGTAATAAGACCTAGAGGAATATAAAGTATCTATAAACCTGCGGTATAAGTTAGAATAGCTAGGCGAAGCTAAGGCGAGTAGCGTAAAACAGGTCGGCGGCCTACCTAAGTACTAGTCTTCGATACGGCGCTAGTACGAGTACAAGTACGAGTACGAGTATAGGCGTTATATCGTACGCGACTAATCTTATCGTATATACGAGATTACGGACTCGTTTATAGACTCGTTATTATCGTATATACGCGTATATAGATGCGGCGCTATCGTACTATTATTAACGCGTAATGTCCTTTATTATTAGAAAGTAATATAAAGAGCACGTATTTATAGCCTAAGGCTAATACTTGTTTTTAATTTCTACTAATAAGAGGGCTCGATTAACTTTATAGTAGCGGTTCTTTAGACTAAACCCCCGGGCTACTAACTAATATAGGTACCTATAGCGAATAATATACGTATCTATAGCGCTTTATTAATATTATAGGAAGGCAGATCCGACTATTTTCCGCTACTAGCCTAATATTTCTAGACCTCCGTTTCCGTATCCTCGTCGTAAGCTCCTTAAATACTCTAACTACGGCCTAGAAATATCCGGCTTCGCTCGGATAAAAAACCTCTACGACTTTACTATATAGCACTATAGTATATTAAGTAGCGATAATATACGTAAAGGGGATCTATATAATCCTATACTAAAGCTACTACCTAATAAGGGCTTATAGGACTACTTTAAGTTATTACCGTCTTTAGTATAGTATATACGAAGACGTCTACTAAGTTTAACCGAGCTAAGTATATAGGCTATATACGTAATAGGGAGGTACGGAAGTGTCTAGTTAGTACCTTTATAACCTAGTTCTTCTGCCGCTAGTACGTATACTAGCCGTAGAAAGTACTACCTAACTTCTCGAAAAAGGATAATTAGTACGAGACTAAGACATTTTCTACTAATCTAGCGCTACTAGCAAAGCCTATACTATAAGGTTAATAATATAGGTAGATAAAGGCACTCTTTCTAGCGCTTAGCACTAAGTCTATAAAGGTTACGTATATAGTTAGAGTAGCTCTAATAAGACTAGTAGAGGCACTCGGTACGAGACCGTACGACTTGCTACTAGATATATTTAGTAGGTAAGTATACTATATTAATAGAATATAGACTATTCTAGGCCTAGTAGAGTAGTAGAGGGCATACGCGGCACGCCTCGAAAGGAGCCGGCCGCCTAGTAAGCGGTTATTCTAATAGTTCTATAAAGTATAAGAACCTAAGCAAGTAAAGTCTCCTATCCTACCTTAGCAATCCTATATAACAATTATGTAATGTTATTACGTGCACTACGACGCTAGACCGCTAGCGTAGAGCCTACTTAGCGTAGGTTCGGAGATGCCCGGCTACTCGTATAGATTTACTCGGTCGACCGGCTTAGTAGATATACTAGCTAGGCGAAGCCTAGTTAATAGTAAACGCTCTGCCCTATTTTAGAAAGGCACGGTTTAGTTCTACTTTCTACTACGGCAATTAGTAGAGGGTATTCTATACGTTGCTATATACCTATTTTCTTATAATTCTAAACTGTCTATCCTTTCTAGTAGCCTATAGAACCCTAAAAGATAAACGCAAGCGATCTAAATACGCCGGGCGCGGGAAACGCGTAGAATAATACCCTAGGAGCGCCGATAGTATTAGAAAACGACGCGGCAATATAATAAGACGAAGCCGAATATTAGGCGCGCCGAGAAGCGACCCGCCTATAGCTCGAACGATTTCTAGCTAAGTAAGAAGTGCTTAGGCTAGAAGTATAGGCTTAAGAAGCTAAGCGAGAGAATACGCGTCTTCGTACCCTTAGGGACGCCGGCGATGCGCTAGCTCCGAGTAGCGGTACTACCGGCGAGGGTCTTACGATAACCCTACCCCTAGGCGACGACGAGAACGAGAATAAGGAAGAATTAGCTAACGAGTCGATTTAGAGGCCTAAATCTTAGAGAGCTAAATCTGTCTCGTATCGACTACCTCTTTCCGGAAGTACGCTAAGCGTAGCTACTATACCTAGTATAAGCTACGTAGTCGCTAGTCTTGCGGCTATTAAGCCTCGCTTAAAGGAGCCTAAGCCCTTTAAAGGCGATATAATTAAGGAGTCGAGGCGATTCCTTCGAGAACTTTCTATTACCTTTATACTATCCGGAGCTACCTATTATACGGACGAAAGCAAGGTACTTTATAGTATTATATACCTCGTAGGCGATACGTAGGAGCGATAGTACAATAAAAACAGCCTTAAGGACCTATAAAATTATACCTACTAGGACTTTAAAACCTTCTATCGGGACTACGTCGGGGACCCTATAAACCGTATACTAGACGTAACCCTCGAGTATAAGGCAGCCTATTAGCGTAAGGGACAGTTAGTCTAAAGCTTTACCCTTAAGCTCGTAGTGCTCGAAGATTAACTTAGCGACTATAGCGAGGAGTATAGGATCCGCTATCTCCTCGATAAACTCTAGCCGGCGATTCGTAGCGCGATTATTAAATACTATACGGTACTAACGACGCGTTACGAACTCGTAGAGCTTACGACGCGTATCGAGACCCCTAATAAGCCGTCTAGTAAACGTAAGGATCGTAACTACGATAAAACCGGAGGCAGTAAAGGTAAGAAGCGTCGATCTAATAGTTAGGCCCGTAAGTAGTAGTTAAATCGCGACTGTAGCGCAGGCGGAAAGTATACGAAGGGCGATAACTCGTAAGGCGGATATAATATTAGCAAGGTCGAATATTATAGCTATCGCTAGAAAGGCTATTATAAGAACGCGTACCCGAACCGCTATCTCTAGAAAGACGATAACCCTACGGTACGTAAGGTAGCCGCTAACGCTAAAGAAAAGAAGAACGACTCGAAGGCTAAGGGAAAAGATAAGGCACCTCCTAAGAGCTAGAGATAGGTACGGAATCTTAACTAAGTAGCTTAGTAGTAGTAGTACCTACGGGACGCGTACGAGGAGTAATTGTTACGTAAGAAGAGGAAGTGTCCGTCGAATGCTTATTAGATAATGCTACTAACATTAATATAGTATCTTAAGAATTCGTTCTACGATACTAGCCTTAGCGGATTGTTAATACCGTACTACCTAGTGCTAATAGTTTCTAGGGCGACCGAGGATACTACTACGGAGCGTATTATTTACGCTTATAGATCGCCGACTCTATAGGCTAAGAACGTATTACTACCGGAGTGTTCTACGCTTTCGAGATGCCCCTCCCTAATATTATTCTTAGTAGGCCTTAGAGGCGCGATTAAAAGGTAATCGTCGATAGCTTAACGAATGCCTAAACCTATAGGAACGAAGCCGTAGCGCGTACGATACGTATACGGGAACTATAGGAATTCTAGAAGGATATATATAACGCTCTATACGTATATACGATTAGCGTTCGCTAGCTCCGCGATATCGCTAAGAGTTCCTCCTTGCTAGAAGAATTTAAAGACTTCGAAGACGTCTTTACTATAACGCCTAAAGCGCGACGTAAGCTCCCCGAAGACGTAGAGTATACGATCGACCTAATCCCCGGAACGAAGCCGCTATATAAACCTCTCTACTATTCTTTAGGAAGAGAGCTTAGCGACCTTTAAAATTACCTAAGCTTAGCCTTAGAGAATAATTAGATCTAGCTTAGTATAAGCGAGGCGGGTACGCCGATCCTATTCGTACTAAAGAAGGATAGTAGTCTAAGACTCTACGTCGATTATAGGAGGCTAAACGAGATTACTATTAAAAATCGTTACCCCCTACCCCTTATTAGCGAAACGCTTAATAGGCTTAAGGACGCCGAATAGTATACGTCCTTAGACCTATAGGATACGTATTATCGTATCTATATTAAGCGAGGCGACGAGTAGAAGACTGCGTTCCGTACGCGGTATAGGCACTTCGAGTATAAGGTAATGCCTTTTAGGCTTACTAATGCTCCTACTACGTTCTAAGGATATATTAATAGGGCATTAGCTAGCCTTATTAACATTTGCTATATCGTCTACCTTAACGATATTCTTATCTATAGCAAAATGCGAGAGGACTACGTACGAGACGTACGCGCTATCCTTACGCGGCTCCGGAAGTTCGCCTTATATACGAATAGGAAGAAATGTTCCTTCTAGA